CGGGCCGTGCGAGGAAGTGGGCGTGGTCCTCGAGGTCGGAGGCCTGCCTGGACGCTGCCTTTAAGCATTTATCTAACAGAAATGCCATCACCGCTGTTCACAATGCAAATGAAGCTGTTGGCGCAGAAAGAGCGCATTTCATGGATGTCTAAGCATAGAATATCGAATCGTTTGGCTAAAAATTTTCAACTACTAACTTTAGATTATCTCATACCTGATATGAAGAGTATCGTATGCAACATGTAGGATTTTGAGGCCACCACCATCGAGTGCTCCTGCGTATCTGAAACAGTGCAATTTGAAAATTCCAAATAATGCATAAGCGGAAGGGAACTCAATACGTTCAATGCTAAACGCAGCTTTACACATGACTCCTCGTGCATCGGCTCTACTAGTCAGATCAGAGCTCAAAAAGCCAGAATTAAAGTTGAAGTTCGTATACTGAGGCTTATGTTTCTGTGTGATTTCTGAGCGGAGCAGCTCAGAAGTAGGCCTCTTCAAAATCACGTTAAAAAAAGCAATCTTTGCGTCTACTCAATTGTCAAACGAGCATAAAACGCTCAAAGTCACTTTAAGTATCTAAATGCTATCATACGCATGCAAAAATGTTTCGGGAAAGAGGAAGACCAAGAAGGTGCGGTAGCGGAAAGGTACGCATGCGGCGTTGGTCGTAGTTTATGGTTCCCTATATGGAACTTTGAGCGAAGAGCAGAACTTACTGCAGTAGAACCAACTTTTAGTGAGATGTAAAAACTTGACCTGGGTTATTTCCTGAATCCTGTGCTGCACAAGTTCATTTTCTAAGGGCGTTTTGGAATTTCGAGATCAAAAGGTTTTTTATCTGATTTGAAAGAGTCCAAGGAGTTCTACGATAAGCGGTTTCGGCGCTCCTACTCAAGGCTATCCTTTACCACATGGTACATTACAGATTACCGACGGACAGACAAGCACAGATGTCGCGCTTTCTGGCTTACTTGCTTTCATATTTGGCCCATGGTCGGGGCTCCTTCTATCGTATGATATCTCAGGAAAAATTTTGCCAAATATTATCCTTGTTACAAAGTCTGGATGTAGTCGGACAAGTAAAGTGCGCCACTTTTATGGCGCTAAAATGCGGTTTTATTACCCGTAAAGTAAGGTGCCATGCCAAATGGAAGAACGATAACTCCGACGAAATCGTAAATTGTGACGATGGCGCGTCCACAAAAATCTATAGTTGGAAGAGAAAGCAGAGGATGAAGCGATGAGTGATTAATGAGAGGAGACAAGCAAATGGCCGCAATGCTTCCCAATCTGCTCGCTGCCAGACAAGCTCCTTTAATCTATAAGAGCCAGTCTTGTGCACAAAAGCATTGGCTTTGCAGCCCTGTTTATTTTATCCAAGTTTCGATAGCAATTTTATGCCAATTTAGAATGATTGTAGATTCTGAGACCTCACAAATTCATATCGCCTATTGATATAGAAACTTAAGGTTCACATACAATACCGCTCGTAATTTGTGAAAAAAATTGGC